TATATATATATATATATATATATATATATATATATATATATATATATATATATATATATAATGATAAGGTCTCCCCATCTTTTTTCCAAGCTTTTCACTGATTCAACTGATTAGATTACCCAGACAGGAACATATTTCGCCGAGCTAGTCGAGCTCAACATGAACTAAACTCATTTTACACTGTTCATCAGATAATGTTATGGGATGATCTAATTGGGGTAGCTATTCGTAAAAAGGTTGCCCAGGGGTTCGAGTATATCTACTGAGTCTTACCAAGGAATATCTGAAGGTGGGTCATCCTATTTAGCTATCTCTATCGAAATATTCTCCGTGAGTTGATCTATCTTCCAAAGGAGTCTCAGTGATCCTATATATATATTGATTAGTAAATTAATTATGTAACGATCCTAGATTTTCGATAGTCTAAAGTCATTAATAACCCAAAATTTTGCAATAAAAAGAAATAGAGAAATGTCTCGTATTGCTTAACATTCACATAACTATAATATAACTTATCATATCTTTGCACGTATCAATTCACATTATGCACATATCATACAATATCATATATCATAACAGTCACATAACATAACCCGAGCAGGTTTTCAACATATTACACACCTATCACATCACAATATATCATATTATAAACATATCAATTTATCACATATAGCATAACACTCACGTAACATCTCATTTTATAACAATTAACATATACGAGCATAAGACACGTGCCACCAATCAGCACACAATTATAACCAAACAACAATGGGACCACTTACTTAATTGGTCAAGGCCGAAGCTACTACGACCCCCTTAATGCTATTTAACGGAGTCCAACATCATAAATTAGAATTCTACTGTGGAAATTAGCTTACCTAGTTTTACATAAAATAATTTAAACTTACCCCTACGAGAGGGTCCAATGCCTTGATAGAATATTGATGAATCGATATTCAGGATGTCTCGATACTATGAACGACACATGGGTCTATTCTCAATAAACATGTTTGAGTGTGCTACGATGGCCAATGATATCTTGAAACTTGGGGTGGCATCATGACATGAAGATCATGCTACTAGGAACCAAGATGAGAATATGAAATACGATATTGCACATGAGATACCTTGACCCCAAGTAGAGGCAAGTTCGAGTCAAATGACTTGCCCTAGTGTAGAGACAAATTGGATAGAGTCGCAGATAATTGAACATATACGCATTGTCGACGTGTATGACCAAACAAGCTTAGATTCCACGTGATTTATGTTTGGTTGACAAAGGAAAACCTCGCCCAAAGTTCAATGAAACCACAAAATCTAGGCAGCTCGTAATTTTCTTTCAACTCATGGATCTAGTTCAAATGGTTTTTAAAATTGAAGAATCCATGGAACGAATAAATCCAGCTAAATCAGCTAGTGATAAGTAGCGTGCTCGTAAATAGGATATGTCACGGTTGTTTGACTAACACAATGCAACCATTATCCAAACTAAAGAATTTGATTCAACTATATCAATTTAGGTAGCATTCGGCTGCAACTATAAATATCGAACTTCAAAGTATTCACACGCAAAGTAAGTTTGTTGAAACTATCTATCAAAGGGTGTTCTAAAATTAGGTTTGAAGAAGTGTTTCCTTCCCATCTAGTTCCAATTAAGGATGTTAATGATAAAAAAGTGCAAGCCGGAAGGTTTGTAGTGGAAGTGTATAACAGGATTCCTAGACATCATTTCGTTTATAACAGGATTCCGGGATTATAAGTAATGCAAGATAATTAAGACGGAGAAATTTTCCTCCAATTTATCATGAGTATACGAGTAAAATATTTATTATACAAACACGTTGTTAGTTAAGTAAGGCGTGACACTCGAGTAAAAGAGGAGCACATGAATGAACCAGGATAACATCTGAATGACCGTGATTCTAATAATGTTTGAATAAATAAAAATAATATTAACAAATTTAAATTTAAAAATTGAATAGATATAGATGATACCTTAGTCTTTAAATACTTATCTTTTTAAACTGAACCGAGAGCCAATAACCACTTTTTTTTTTTTTTTTTTGAGATAAGAAACAATTAAAATTCATCCCCTCAAAGTTTCCACACCCTTATAAAAAATATTTGACCGATGTGGGATCTCACAATCCACCCCCGGTTCAACCGTGAGTTATAGTATGATGTATGACATACTTTACATACTTGATGCACTTAATGCGGTATGATGAGCATGTTGTGTTTGCATGACGTTTATCTTAAGATGTTGATGTTTTCATATTAAGCATGATATATGATGATGAGTGTCATATTGCATCATATCGATAGATCGACCTAGAACACAACCATAAGAATAAAAAAATGATATTAATATGTAATAACCCGAAAATAATAAATAAATTAATTAATTAATAAATTAAATAAAAATAAAAATAAATTAAATAAATAAATAAATAAATAAAAAGAAAAAAAAAAAAAGACAGCAGCAGCTTGAAGCTGCTGCCATGGAGAAAGGAAAAATGGACAGGTGGATTGAAGGGAAAAGAAAGAAAAGAGAGGAAGATGGAGGTGTGGGATGAAGAAGGGTGGTTTTATTTTATGTTAGTGTTATGGATGGTGGTGGTGGTTGGCGTTGGCAAGGCCGACGAGGAAGCACCAAATAATATCGAAGAAACAGAGGAAGAGGGAACCAGAAAACAGAGGATGTTATAATCCGTGTTTTCCGGCAAAACCTTAAGGTTCTTTGGCGTTTGTTGTGACAACGTGCAAACATGAGGATGGGGAGACGATTGTGAAGGCTTTTCAGCCATTGAAGCTCTGAACTAAACTGATTTAAGCGGTTGTCGCAAAGGTAACGAAAAACCCATATCACCGAACTTTTAAATTTCGATATCTTGGTTCGTATTGTATAATAAGTTATGAAATAGGGCTTGTTAGAAACGTAATAAGGAGATCTATAAATTTGTAGAAGGAATCAGGATGAAATTCGAATCGTAGAAGGAGGATATGGCTTCAGGATATAGTAGGTATTAACAGAAAAGATGGGAAAATTTCAGAAAACGCAAGGAAGAAGAAGAAGTGCGTGCACTACACGCAGGCGCGTGAGGGCCGCGACTGGGCGTGCTCCTGGCGCGTGGGACAGACACACCGAGGATGTGAGGGCGCGTGAAGCATCATTTCGGTTCCCGGTTTGTCCCGTTCGATTTGTTTTGACCTGTCCTACCTAGATTAACCTATACTTACCTTGAAAATGGTGAAATATAGGTCTAATTGGAAGGAATTGTGTTGAAATACCTTATTAAATGTACAATCAAGAGAGAAAGGGATTCGAAACCAGGTAAGTAGCGTATCGACCTTTGAACTAGTTCTTAACTTGTTTTACAACATGTGAGTATGTTGTTTACCTGATTAAGAGCTTAATATGTTATGATGAGCTTTGATGATATTGAGTGTTTATTGTATATTGTGACTGCTTACCTATGATGTAAGCATGATATAAATGATTGTCAGAATGTTCTATGTGTTGAACATGATACATGTATGAAAACATGCAGTAACTGTGAGTATGTTATGCATGTTAATAGAAAGGTTATGACTCTAAGATATGCTTATTGGTTGTTGAGCTATGGCTTATTTATATGGGTATGATAGTCTACTAATTCCCGCAGAGTTCCTGGCCAACGCGCTGTGTGCTAAGTCAGGGAGCATGAGTACTCATGACCGTTGGTATATGAGATAAACAGGCCGCCAGAGCAATTAGTAGACGGGCCGTATTTGACCGAGAGCGAGTCTTACATACGAGTCCGAAAATTCTAGATAAGCATATCGAGAGAGAGTCAGTAACCTAGCTGGAGGTAGCTGAGATACCTCATTTACGAACAGATGACCCTAGTAAGAGAACTAGGAGTCAATGATGAATAAATTTAAAAAAAAAAAACAATTAGTTATGAATTCATGAAAGATAAAGTTGGCTACTTATTGGGTAATTTAATTACTCATCAAAATTATTTTTAACTTTTCTTTCCAGATTTAGTTGATGCAGGCCAACCGAGGACGAGGACGAGACCAGCGGGCTAGAGACTATTTGGGAATCCATGTCTGTGTCTGTTTTGTGTACTTATGCTTTCGCTGTCAAGAATCTACTTCGGTTATTTTAAGTTTAAATAGCACTAGTTTTAAATGTTTTACTTGATGTTTTTGGAAATATTTTTTTTGAAATTTATCATTGGTTATCGGAGTTTATTATCGAGGTCAGTGGTAACTCCTGTGAATCGCGTTGACGATGAGCGGGTGTTACATAATATAAATATCTAACGAGCATGTGTTACTAAGCGTAACAAAGAGATGAGACTAGAGTTGTGTCAAAAGAGATGCTAAGATGAGAATTAGAGGGACCTCATGCATGTTGTGTGTACATAAGCATAAGGATACTTCCCCTTTATGATGATGAGTGCAGACACGCATAATATGATGATGAGGGTGTTTCTGGGGAACATGCACCAGGGGTTTCGCTGACCTCCAAACGTCGCTATAGACAGCTAGCCTGACTAGAGAGGGTCCAAGTAGTGTGTGAGCCGCCTAGAGATTCACGCTCGCACGTGTGGGTCATGTGCAGGGAAGTACCACACTTCCATAATAGTCCGGACTGGAGACCACCCCTACTATGGGATGAGAAGAGATAGGTCCTTAGAGCATATTTGCATGTGTTTGCATTTAGCATTGGCCCTAAAGTGGGGTCACTTACTGAGTATTCTTCGAAATACTTAAGCCGTGTGCTACATCATTTTTCAGGTAAAGGCAAGACACCCATGTACGGATGACGACGACATCACAAGCAACAACCATGACACGTGCATAAGGTAGATACATGTTTAAATTCCTAGTCTTAGGTTAGAATAAGTTGTCTTGCATTTCACCCTTTTAAATTATTTTTTATTTGTTTTTATTTTTTAATTTCAGTATTTCGTTGGAAACACGTAAGACCAGAGATGAAATTATTTAAATGTTTCTGACATTTATGCTAGAGATGATATTTCTACAAAATGTCTGACTACTAGTTCTTTGACGAAAACAGTGCAACCATTATCTAAACAAAAGAATTTGATTCGAAGCTATCTCTTCATAGAGGGAGGCTCAATTAGTCTTTGTTGTAAGATTCTGCGATATCAACGTGAGTAGCTTCAGCCACAACTATAAATATCGAACTCTAAATTATTCATGAACAAAGTAAGTAGGTTGAAACTATCTATCAAAAGTGTTCCAAAATGAGCAGTGAAATAGTGTTGCCTTCAGATTTAGTTCCAATTAAGGATGTCAATGACGAACACGTGCAAGATGCTGGAAGGTTTGCAGTGGAAGTGAATAACCAGTGGGGTGGACATTGTTTCGTTTACAAGCGTGTGGTGAATGGTCGGTCCAAACCCATTATAGAGTTTAAGCCCAAATTTTATATTACACTGATAGAAGTTATAAATGACGATGGTATTCCTTGGTCATATATTGCAAGGGTGAAGCACTTTGGGCTTCACAAGAGAGCGCCATTTGCCTTGTCCTTTAAACCCTCTTTATATATGCGGAGGGTGTTTCATTCTCTTAACTATGAAAATGACATAGCCCACAATAAAATAATAAAATAATCACGTAACTATGTATATATATATATATATATATTGGATATCTTTATTATCTTCTACGTGGCTTTCGAATCCTTTGCTTTATCTTTTTTCTTTCAAGACTCTAATTCATATGATCACCCTCAAACTTTTTTCCTCCAGTTATCTTATTTAGAAAAGTCAACTTCCCCGTCTTTCGAGAGTCAAGACATGTTGGGGTATGTTGATAGAACTATGGTTCCACCACCTCGCTTTGAACCAAAAACTTCATCAACACTCAACACCAAATATTTGGCATGGAAGCAGCCGACCAATGACTTCTTTATCCCTGCTCTACCCTCTCAGGAATCGATGTGGGATCTCACAATCTACTCCCTTGGGAGTCGAGCGTCCTCGTGGGCACATCGCCCAGTGACTCGCTCTAATACCATTTGTAACAGCCCAAACTCTTCTCGGCAAAGGTTTTCACACCCTTGTAAAGAATTCTCCGTCCTCTCTCAAACCGATGTGGGATCTCACATAAACATATTCAAATTATATATTAAAAGGGCTAATAAAGATTAAATTATGATTAAAAAATTTAATAATAAAGTAAGTTTGAATATTTAAAATTTACAAAAAAAAAATTAAAATAAAAGATTGATATAGGTTAGGTAAGCGAATTAAAAGGTAATAAAGATGACAGTGCAGGACATGGGTAGACATTGATGGAGACGCCACTAATTTTGGCCAGACAGGATCACTGGGCTAAAGGTAAAAAAAAAAAAAAGTAAAAAAAAAAAAAAACTTTTTAAGGACCAGAAACAGTAAAGGTAAAAAAAAAACGTGGTAAAAGTAAAAAAAAGTGAATCCATGTGGACATGCGCGATAAAAAAAAAAAATACGTAAGGCACGTGCTACTTCTTTTTCAAGTAAAGGTAAGACACCTTCTATATATATATATTATTAATTATTAATCATACTATTAATTATGGTAAGATTAAAACGGGTTGAATTATTTTTTATTTCTTATTTTAGAATCATTAATAAAACATTAATTAGACCTACCAAATTACATTATAACACTCTACCAAAGTTTACGGAACCCGTCAAATAATTAAAATTAAAAATATACGCGATAAATAAATACCATGTAATTTTATTTATTTATTTCATTAAAAATGTCGAATACGTACACAAAACCTGTTAAATCGGCCTCGTTAAATTATCAAATAAGCAAAATTCAAAATATATGGGATAAATAAATAATAAATTTTTATTTTTATTTTATTTTCTTGAAAAAGTTGGAATACATTATAATTATTATTCCAACCCCTTTCAATAATAAATAATAATTTTTTTAAAAAATGTATAATATAATTGTGGAGCATAATTAGTATTGAAGATGAGCAAAATAATTGAGATCATAAATCTGCCACGTAAGTTTTGTAGTATTATTTTATTTTATTTTATTTTTATCTCCATATTTTAAAATATCTAAATTTAATTAATATAATTACTATTATAAAATATATCCCGTGGAGCGTCGAATCAATAAAAATAATCCTCGACTTTACCCTTTGTTTCAAAAAAATATTATTATAAGATCGGAAATTATCTATGATTTTTATTTTATATATTAATGGTAAAAAAAATTAACTTTAAATGTATTTTTTAAATATTGGAGTAAATAATTTTTATATTCGTTTATTGAAAATTCAAAAATATTTAGAATATATTTTTGTTTTTGGATAATATACAAATTTACTAATTTAATATTTTAAGTCTAAACTAAATTTAAATATTTAAAAATATAAAAATAAAAATAAAATGGAAGCTAAGGGTAAAAAATTGATATGGGTAAGCGAATAAAATGGTAATAAAGGTGACAAAGAATTATTGATGGTCGGTGGAACATCATGGGGGGATTGCATTGACTCATTCTGTACCCGCCAGCCGATCACGAGTGTTGGTGGATTGGATAGGGTCGGGTTAAATTATTTTTTTTCGATTCAATTTTTTGAATCAAATTTACTTTAACCGTAAATTACTTTGTTTGGATTGGTTCGAGTTGTTCGGGTTCGTAAAAACATCTATTTCTTTATTTTCAAACACCTCGCACATCGACCAAGTTAGATTCAGGGGTATGTTTACGAGTCCGTCTGGTGGATTCATGTGTGCGTGTGTGAGTCATGTGTGGGGAAGTACTACACATCCAACCCGTTCATGACAATGTTACAGTCCCATCATTATAGATGTGTTATTGCATTATTAACTCTGACTTACTGAGTATTTCTTAAAATACTCGAGCCACGTGCTACGTTTATATTTTTTAGGTAAAGGTAAAACGTCCACCACGAATGACGGTGAATGCTGGAATGACCATAGAAGTCAAAATAGAACAATAATATGCATTAAATTTCGAATTAAATGTGTTATTAATGGCATACATGTAGTGACGACTCTAGTACATAAAAACTTTGGAACCGTACAAAAATGTATATTTTAAAATTAACAATAAATTCGAATTGGTATAGAAAAACCCATTAACCTATTCAATCTGAACTCGACCCAGCCTAACCCAACTTAAACCATACGCGTTCGGTCGGGATAGATAGGTTGAACAGGATGTACAAGTCATCGGGTCTTACGAACATCACCATCACAAAGAAAAGAACAATAAATACTTTTGTAATCGTGATTGTTTTCTTCATATACAAATCAACGATAATTACATCGACGTGTTTAAGTCGTATCACATGCTCGTTAAACGTTGTTCGAGATGGAAAGCATGGACTTGGTGGCATTTTAGGCACCTCAAACTTTTTTAGAGTTCAAACACGCCACCACCTCATTAAGTCCTGTTCTAGTAGTTTATAAACGTGGCAAATGGTGAACCCAGAAAAAATTAAAAAAATAAATAATAATAATAATGTGTGGATATGGGCAGCGTTATAGCATTGGGCCCATGGAGTCAATAGGAGGAAATGGCTCCGTGACGGTTGGTATGATAGTTCAAGCTTACTGCTAGCTGATATTTTGAAATGAGTTTGATAGGGAGAGGTTTCCACACCTTATAAATAATGTTTTGTTCTTCTCCCCAACCGATGTGGGATTTCACAATTCACCTCCTTTCGAGGCCCAACATCTTCGTTGACACTCATTCCCTTCTCCAACCAACGTGGGATGTAACAGATTGAGTTGATTACACAAGTAACCCGAATAGAGTTTGTGATGTCCCACATTGGTTGGGAGAGGAGAACAAAATACTCTTTATAAGGGAGTTGAAACCTTCTCCTAGCAGACGCATTTTAAAGTCTTGAGGGAAAACCGAAAGGAAAAAAGAGGACAATATCTGCTAGCGGTGAATCTGGGTCGTTACAAAGGGTATTAGAGCCAGACACTGGACGATGTGTCAGCCTTCTTGCCCTTCCACCAAGTGGGGTAGACACAAGGCGGTGTGCGAATAAGAACGCTGGGCCCGAAACGGGGGTGGATTTGGTGGGGGTCCTACATCGGGGGTGGATTGTGTGTCCCTCGTGGACAACAAAACACCATTTGTCGGTTTTTTATTATTATTATTATTTTAAAAAATTACAACTTGCCACATCTCTATATATGGTGTAGAATTGGAGCTTGAAGTTTATGTGCACTAAGACTATCAATGGCTTCCTTAACCATTCATTCTTCCACCACCGTCTTCCCCGCCCACCCTACTCCCATTGCCACCCTCTCCTTCTCCGAGAGCGACCAAATCAAGCCATGGACTCACTCCCCCACCGTCTATGTCTACCGATCCCCCACTGTCACCACCTCTGCCGTCGTCGAGTCCTTGAGAAACTCCCTCTCCCAAATGCTCGTCCCTTACTACCCTCTTGCTGGCCGTCTCCACTGGATCGGTGGAGGCCGTCTTGAGCTTCATTGCTGCAGCGCCGGAGCTCAGCTCATTGAAGCCTCCTCTACCGCCACGCTCGATGATTATGGCGATTTCTCTCCCACTGATGCTCTTCGAGAGCTCGCTCCGAAAGTCGATTATAGTACTCCCATTGAGGAGCTGCCGGTGTTTTTGATTCAAGTGACAAGATTTAGCTGCGGCGGGATCGTGATCGGTACCGGCCTTTCTCACATTCTTGTCGATGGGGTCTCGGCGATTACGTTTATCAACTCGTGGGCGAGCATTGCACGGAAGGATAAGACGGTGGAGAGTATTGTCCAGCCATTTCATGACCGGAGCGTTCTGCAACCGCAGAAGCCATTGCGGCCGCCGAGGTTCGACCACCGCGAATACGACAACCCGCCATTTCTTTTGGGTTGCTCGGATGCTAAGGTATTTTAACCAAAAAAGCTGAAATTATTATAGAATTTGAACTTTTTGTTGAGAATAGTTGGGGAAGAATCACACATTGACTTTAACGGGTCGATCATGAGTTTATAAGTAATGAATACATACCAAAAGCAAAATCACGAGAGCTTATACTCAAAGTAAACAATATCATACCATTGAGTAGAATCGTGATTTGTAACATGGTATCAAAGTCATACCTTGGTTTGGAGGAGAACAAACCATCATTTATAAGGGTGTGGAAACCTTCCCCCATCAGACACGTTTTAAAGCCTTGAGGGGAGGCCCGAAAGGGAAAGCCTAAAGAGGACAATATCTACTAGTGGTGGATCTGGGTCGTTACAAATGGTATCAGAGCCAGACACCGGACGATGTGCCAACCTTCTCTCTGTTTCTCGAAGGGGGGTAGACACGAGGCAATGTGCCGAAAAGGACGCTGGGCCCCAAAGGGGGGTGGATTTATGGGAGTCCCACATCGATTGGGGAAAGAAAGAGTTCTAGTGAGAACGCTGGGCTCCGAAGGGGGATGGATTTAGGGGGGGTCCCACATCGATTGGAGGAAAGAAAGAGTTCTAGCGAGAACGCTGGGATCCGAAGGGGGGTGGATTGTGATGTCCCACATTGGTTGGGGAGGAAAACAAACCATCATTTATAAGGATGTGGAAACCTTCCCTTAGTAAACACGTTTTAAAGCCTTGAGGGGAAGCCTGAAAGGGAAAGCCTAAAGAGGAAAATATCTACTAGTGGTGGATCTGGACCGTTACAAGTCATGTCAATAGAATACTCAAATGTCGAACATAGAAGTTGTGAGTCTCAAAGGTGTAGTCAAAAGTTGTACTTTGTTCGAGAGCTCTAGAGAAGGAGTCAAATCTCGATTAAGGGGAGGTTGTTCAAGAGGTTCATAGGCCCCAAGCTCTAGAGGAGTCAAGCTCGATTAAAAGAGGCTATTCGAGAGCTCCATAGGTCTCAAATTCCAACACCCATCACTTTTATTTCAATATATTAATACATTTCTATATTCCCAACAGGAGGAGCGAAAGAAAGAATCCATACCCACATTGCTGAAACTTTCCAAAGAACAAGTTGAAAAACTCAAAAAGAGAGCAAATTCGAACATAGTCAACCAACTCGACGAGCTACCATCACGACCATACACTCGATACGAGTCTATTGCAGGCCATATGTGGGTATGTGCATGCAAGGCCCGTAGCACCGGCGACAAATCCCAACCAACAATGGTCCGAGTCGCAGTCGATGTACGACGACGACTTGGAACACCAGTCCCCAACAACTTCACCGGAAACTCAACCCTAGTAGCCGTGACACCAAAGTGTCAATTCGGTGATCTAATATCTCAACCATTGAGCTACGCTGCAGGAAAGATTCGAGAAGGAACATGGAAGATCACGGACGAGTACGCGAGGTCGGCGCTCGACTTCCTAGCAAGTCAAGAGGACATCAGCTGGGTCAGAACCTCGTACCACACAAAAGTTAAGGTTGAAGCTCCATTTTGGGGCAACCCCAATTTGTCTTTGGGAAGTTGGATGTCGCTGCCGTTGTATGAGGCGGACTTCGGCTGGGGGAAGCCGTGTTATGTGGGGCCGGCGACATTGAATGCCGACGGGAAGTCGTTCATCATGCCGGCGCCGGACAACGACGGTGGGTTGATTATAGCTATACGGCTGCAGAAGAAGCACATGGATGATTTCAAGAGACACTTTTATGAAGATCTGTGATTTGAATCACTTGGGAGATTTTATTGTCGTGTGTCGTTGTGTTTGAGGTTGTTTTTTGTTTTGTTTTTGTTTTTGTTTTTGTTTGAGAGTATATTTTTAATTATTGATCATTAATATATTAATACAAGTGTCACTTTTTTCATCCACAATGGTATGATATTGTCTGTTAGAACTCGTTTCTGTTACAAGAACACGACTCTCCACAATGATATGATATTGTTTGTTAGAACTCGTTTCTGTTAGAAGAACACGACTTTCCACAATGATATGATATTGTCCACTTTGAGTGTAAGCTCTCCGGACTATACCAATAGAGATACTTTGACTTCGAGGTGGACTTCTTTTCTTTTGGAGTCATTTGTTCGACATTTGAGAATTTACCAATCTATTGGTACTGTAAGTATTCAGATTTTTATTTATTTTAGATTTTATGCTGAGATTTTATTTTTGCTCCAAAAAAAATGAAAAGATATTATACTAGCATTTATTGTCACAAGGAAGGTGCAGGATTTTTTTACAAGGAAATTAGTATGGAAAAGTCAGAATGACCTTTTATATTCCTATATTCAACTCTTTTCCTTGAAACGACTTTTGCTCTCCAAACTTTTTTGGATTTTCGAGGGTGTCTGAGAGTACGGAAAATCGAGAGGGTTAGCCAGAAAAAACGTGCAGGGTGTTCCATTGGATTTTTCTTCAGTGAGTGGCCGGAGGGAGAACGACTGAAGCTATCGGTGTTGAATACCGTTGCGCGTCTGTCGGAATAGGTGAGGGGTGTCGTCGCATCGTCGGAATCGGGGTTGTGATGTCGTCATTGGCGGCGCAGCAATGATTAGGATTTTCGTGAGATTTCGGGTAAGGAAGACGAAGGAAACGGGTCGGGTTTCACTTTCGGTCTCTGAACCAGCCCACGGAACGAACGCGGGCCCAGAGCGTTTCGGCCCAACACGGACGCATGTTGCGGCCTTGGTCTCGGCTCCGCACGCATGCTCTCTGCTCGGCTTGGCGGCTTAGTTGGTCGGCTCAGCAGCTCGACTGGGTGACTCGGTATCACTATAATATATCGATTCCAAGGTTTTCGACCTTTCGAAGCCATTTCTACCCTTAGTTTTACCATCCGAGGTCAGTATGGTTCCTAAACGTTAAAGACAGATTAGGTCGGGGGTTTATTTTGATAAATAGCATGAGGTTTAGCTAGGGTATGTTATGAAAGGTTCTAAGTTTTTATGTGGTTATCATAGGACTATTTAACCGCTGGGATTAGCTCGTTGTGAGTGACTTCAACCAAGACCATCGAGGTAAGTGACCTTACTGTTGGAGTTAGTTTACTACGTGTTGTATGATGGTGCGTGCCTTACGTGTTGTATGATGGTGCGTGCCTTACGTGTTATATGATGGTGCGTGCCCTGTGGCCCCTGCATGCACCATGTTTTATTATGTGATATGACTATATGATGTATGAATTATGTGACTGTTTATGCTATGAAACATAATGGGTTATGTTGACTATTGACTGTTTATGTTATGTGAAGTTATGAATGATATGTTAGTAATGTATGCCATAAAAATGTTGATCGATGTCATGGATACACGTAGTATTATTGAGTCATGTCATGAGATGTTTATGCAACTGGAATGTACTTTCATGATATGTAATATGTCATGTAATGTACGTCATGTGAGATGCCATGTAATGTAAGAAACGTATATGCGATGTTAGCACTGCTTATGTAATGTCATGTTAGATATGTTAAGGGACCTCATGCATATATGTATGTCACGTGCATCGGGATTCCTCCCCTTTATGATACGAAAGAATAAATTACGATATTTATGTTCGCCATGATATCATGCAGGTTCTTTTCTGTTTTGTGGTGTCCAGCGACGTGTAATACGTTGTGCCCGACCAAGCTAGGCCCAGGGGGTATGTATATGAGCGTGCCTGGTGGGTCCATGTACGCGTACATGGGCCATGTGTGAAGGAGTACCACACATCCAACCCTACCCGGAATAGAAAAGCGCCCAAGGCTATGAAAAGTTAGGTCCCGCTCATATGTTGCATGTGTTTGCATTCCTAACCCCAACAGTGGGGTGACTTACTGAGTATTTCATAAAATACTCAAGCCACGTGCTACCACATTTTTCAGGTAAAGGCAAAGCGCCAATGTACGGTTGACGGCGGAGCTGAGTACACCATGAAAGTTGGAGATGGGATATTGTTAGGAGTTTACGTTTGGACTTAGCATTAAGTATTGCTCTATTTAGATTTATTTTTTAATTAGGTTATTGAAGGTTTATTTTTGGAGATAGGTTGTTTTGGATCTATGAATCTTTATAAAAGACTTTGTTTTGTTTCCCGGGTTATTTATGATGAGCTTCCGCTTAATGAGTTATGTATGCATGGGTGACGTCACTAATTAGGTTAAAGAAAATTAGGGGCGTTACAGGCGCGGTTAAATTTAAGGCAGACTCTGATACCATGTTAAAAGAATACGACTCTCCACAATGATATGATATTGTTCAGTTTGAGTATAAAGTCTCTTGGCTTTGATTTGGGCTCTCCAAAAAGGTCTCGTACCAATAAAGAAAGTATTCTTTCAGTATAAACTCATGATTATTCTCTAAATTAGCTTATGTGGAACTTTCATCATTCAACAGTTTCCCTAAACTTTGGCTCGTCTCTGTACATATGTTGTGTATTCCAGTGCATCTTCTTGGCTTGATCGGATCGTTCGCAACTTGTTTCCTCCAAGATCGTCCCAATCTTTTCGATCACCTTCGTGCAGCATCAACGTTCCATGGGGTCATCTTCGTCTCACCCTTGACCTATAATACAAGTTGTCTGTACAATGATGCCTTACCTTTAGATGAAAAAAAAATAATAGCACGTGGCTGAGTATTTAAAAATACCGAGTGAGTAGTTCCAGTGTTGGGTCAAGAAATGAAATATAAGCAATCATGGTTGGACCTATGTTTTCTTATAGACTCTACTTTCTGGTCCAAGCACGGGATGTGTAGACTAAACATTTGAACCAAAATTTTGAAGAAACGTTACGTGCATGCGTGTTAGATTGCCTACAAACAACAACTTTCATGAAAAATGATATGGCACCGCTCTAAGCTTAAAGACAACTATCGATATGATACCCTTCGAGGCCTTATACGAAAAATGGTACAGGTCCCCGATGTGCTACGATCAGATAGGTGAACGGGAACTATTGGGACCAAAGTTAGTATAAGCTACCAATGAAACCATGCAAAAGAACAAGGTGAGGATGTGCACGACTCAAAGTAGACAGAAGAGTTACGTTGACGTGAGGTGTAGGAACCTTGAATTCAAGATAGGCGACACGGGATTCTTGAAATTGGATGAAATGAAAAATTGAGCTCATACTTTATCGGACCCTTTCAGCTTACTACATCAAATCGGACTAGTAGCGTACATACTAGTCCTACCACCGTCCCTCTTTATGGCGCATGACAAAATCCACGTGTCCATACTCCGAAAGAACCTGACCGACCCGATGCATATGATAAATTACGAGTCTCTACAAATAGACGAGAGAGATTAACAAAAAATTTTAACCACGTTCTAAATAAATATACAAAGTAAAACCTCAATTTCTAGGAAAATTTTCACTTTGGGCCTAGTTTGAATTGGACGCAGGTAGGTCTTTGGGCCTTCGGCCCATGGTTAAAATTTCATGGTTTACCGTGATACAACGAATCAACCCAAATTTATTTTTAAATTAAAAAAATACTTTTATTTTCGAATTATATAGATATATTTATTTTATTTTTATTTAATTTCGAAAATGATTTTTTATAATATATTCTAAAAATAAATAAATAGATATTTTACATACTAATATTCTATTTTTTTAATTAAAAATAAAAATTTGAATAAACCTAAATAAAAATAACTCGAACCAACCAATCCAAAAAAAAATTTATAATTTAAAAATGATAATTTGGGTTAAAAAAAATTACAACTCAAGTGAAAATTTTCTTAGATAAATTTTTTGAAGTGTTCGGTGTACAAGGTTGTGACATGCATGTCTCCGTTCTTACCCTTTTAAATGATATCAACTTGCATATAGTAATGAATTTAAGTCAATTAGAGTTTTATAAAGTCGAGCCATTGTGATATCCAATCAGTTTTTACACCTTCGAGTGATCTTGATATTGGACGAAAAGAAAATAAAAGACTATATATATATATATATATATATATACTTTTTAAACCAGCGTTAGATAAAAATTTTCATACCACTCTAAAAGAATATTTCGTTCTCCTCTACAACTGACATGAGATCTCGAAAATGACTCGTGTCATGTACTTGTTGGTAGGTTTTAGAAATCAGAAAGTAAAAAGAAGATGAGAGAGCAACCGAACAGAACGAGTTCAAATCACATAATTCGAGAGTTAAATTTTTATATTTGAAAATTTCGGGGTCGAAAATTGTCATTGGAGGGTTTAGTTTTTGGGTTATTGTAAAAAATAGCCCCCTAAATCTTTATATATTTTTAAAAAACGCATGAACAAAATTAAATATAAAATTACGATTATACCCTCACTCATAAATATCGATTGAAAAGTGACCAAAATTGATTTTTCAGTTGGGATTGCTTGAAATTCATCAATTTTAGCCGAAAATCATTGGAATCAACCGAGATTCAATCATTTTTGGATTGGTTAGTGGTTGACTTTTTTTGACCGGTCAACCAAACTAACCTAAAAATACCATATTTTTAAGATTATTATGAAAATTAAGATTAATGAATATTAATATTAATAATCCGTTGTGACTTATGAATATTTGATATTTACATTTTATGAGATTTAATTATTAATATAACATAGATAGTAAATCGGTATAATTTTCTTTTTTCTAACAAAAAAGAACAATTTGACAACTAAACTCAACTCAAACTGTTTGGGTTGAGTTGGGTCTCGGGTTGTGAACTCTATTTGAGTTGTTCGAGTCATTACATCATTTGGGTTGTTCGATATTTTATTTTTTAATGTTCGTTTTAGTTCTACTTGACCATATATTAAAATAATAATAATAATAATAAATTTTATTCCTATTTCATAATGTAAATCTTTCGATAAAAATTCATAAATAACA